AGATGTCTTCTCCCATTAGGTAGGCTACTTTTTAGTTTGGTTGATTGTTTCCTTTGCTGTACAGAAGCTTTTTATCTTGATGAAATCCCAGTAGTTCATGTTTGCTTTTGTTTTCCTTGCCTTCGGAGACGTGTTTAGTAAGAAATTGATCCAGCAGAGGTGAAAGAGGTTGCTGCCTTTGTTCTCCTCTAGGATTTTGATGGTTTCCTGTCTCACATTTAAGTCTTTCCCAACACCATTTGTTGAAGAGAATTTTTTCTATTGGCTATTCTTTCCTGCTTTGTTGACAATTAGTTGACTATATAGTTGTGGATCCATTTCTGGGTTTTCTATTCTCTTACATTGATCTGTGTCTGTTTTTGTGCCAGTACCATACTGTCTAGATGACTACAGCTTTATAATATAGCTTGAAATCTGGAATCGTGATGCCTCCAGTTTTGCTTCTCTTTCAAGATTGTTTTGGCTATTCAGGGTCTTTTGTAGCTCTTTACAAATTTTAGGATTGTTTGTTCTAGCTCTGTGAAAAATGCCGGTGGTATTTTGATTGGAATTACATTAAGTGTGCAGATTGCTTTGGATAGTATAGACATTTTAGCAATGTTTGTTCTTCCAACCCACGGACATGGAATACTTTTCATTTCTTTGTGTCATCTTCAGTTTCTTTTATGAGTGTTATATAGTTTTCAGAGTATTAGATCTTTTACCTCTTAGGTTAATTCCTGGGTATCTTACTGCTTTTGGTGCAATTGCAAATGGAATCGATTCCTTGATTTCTTTTTCTCCTGCTTCATCATTGGTGTATAGAAATGCAACAGATTTCTGCATGTTGATTTTATATGCTGCAAATTTATTGAATTCATGGATCAGTTCTAGCAATTTTTTGGTAGAGTCTTTTGGGTTTTCTACATAGAGTATCATGTTGTCTGCAAATAGTGACAGTTTGACATCTTCCTTGACGATTGGATGCCTTTTATTTCACTTTGTTGTCTGATTGCTGAGGCTAAGACTTACAGCACTGTGTTAAATAGTAATGGGGAGAGTGTACATCCTTGGTTTGTTCCTGACTGTAGTGGAAAGGCTCTCAGTGTTTCTCCATTGAGGATGAAATTAGCTGTGGGTCTTTTGTATATGGCCTTTATGATGTTGAGGTATGTTCCATCCATACCTACTTCGTTGAGGGTTTTTATCAAGAATGGACACATCTATTGAGAGGATCGTATGGTTCTTATCCCTTCTTTTATTAATGTGGTGTATCACATTGATTGATTTGTGAATATTGAACCAGCCCTACAGCCCAGGAATAAATCCCATTTGATCATGGTGAATAATTCTTTTAATGTAATAAAGAATAATTCTTAAAATATCGCAAAAGGTGATTGTTGTGGGTTGAAATGTTTCTCCAAAATGTTATGTTGAAGTCCAAACCCCAGGTACCTGAGAATGTGACATTATTTGGAAATAGGATCAAGTTAAGATGAGGTCATATTGGATCATGGTGGGCCCTAAATCCAAAGATTGGTATCTTAGGAGAGGGACGTCTAGAGAAGCAGAGACCACAACGAGGGAAGTAGGCCATGTAATGACAGCAGCAGAGATTCAGCACTGCTGGGACAAGCCAAGGAGCACCAAGGACCAAAGCAACCACCAGAAGCTAGGAAGGATTTTCCCCTACAGACTTCAAAGTGGGCATGGCCTGCTCCCACCTTAATTTAAGACTTGACTTCAGAATTGTGAGAGAATCAGAATCTATTGTTTTAAGCGACCTAGTTTGTGGTAATTTGTTATGGCAGCTCTAGCAAACTAATAGTGACACAAGGCAAAGTCTATTCCAAAGACACAGGGCTGATGAGATGAGATGTTCTGAATGCATTAGCCATCAGGACCAGCCTTACTGACAGTTTATCTGGTGTGTGTCCCTCACTATAAGCGTTTCTCTTATAGACGAGTGACAGTTACAACAGACAACCAGACAGATAATAGGAATGCTGAGTTAAATGCTGAGCAGCAAAATTTCACCAACGAACAGTACAAACTGATCAGAATTCAAAAGCCCTAGGAACGAAATATAGACCAACCAGTGAGGGGCTCAACGGATTATTTGGAGTTCATACTCAGCTGCTGTTTTCTTGGAAAGAGTAGCCTTGAGAATATGGAGATTCAAGGAGTTCGAGGTATGACTACCATTTCCAGGTCAAGGGTCACAGTTTGGGTTGGAGACGGTCAAAGCCAGATCTCTGGAGCCTCCACTTCTGTCAAAGCTCCCCAGCCAGAGACCACCCTGTACACAAGGGAGGTCCAACAAGGTGGGGTTTCTTGGGCTAGCCGAGGAACCAAGGGGTGTCCCTGCAGGAAAACTGGACAGGCTTGTAGGTTTGGCCTTGTCCTAGGAGATTCAAAGAAGGGCTGACGGAAGTGGAGGCTGGTAGTGATTTGGGTACAGCTGGGACTGTTTGATTGTGCACCTTGGTAATTTTATCTAAGAGGCAATATATTTATTTTTTTTTTTAAATATTTTTTATTTATTTCTAGGAGAGAGAGAGAGAGAGACAGCATGAGCAGGGGAGGGTCAGAGAGAGAGGGAGACACAGACTCTGAAACAGCCTCCAGGCCCTGAGCTGGCAGTCAGCACAGAGCCCGACGCGGAGCTCGAACCCACGAACTGCGAGATCATGACCTAAGCGAAAGTCGGACGCTTAACTGACTAAGCCACCCAGGTGCCCCGAGGCAATATATTTAAAGCCCAGCTACAGTCCTCGCTGCCAAAACCCAGTGTGAGGGGTATACTTGTACTTGCAGGGGCAGTGTTTCCGTAGCTCCTTCGGTTCAGATGTGCTCACACAAGTGGTTGCGTTCTGTCTTGGTTCATTATGGTCACAGAGCCGCTGTCCCTGATCATTGTTTATATGTGGGTGGGAATGGTACAGTCTTTCTATTAGCTGCCAAGGCCATTTTTCACTTTCGAAGGGCCTAGCCTGGAGAGAGCAGATAGCACTTCCTCCTACATTCCCTTAGTTAAAATGCAATCATGTGGCCACATGAAATGCACAAGAGGCTGGAATGTAGACCTGAGCTGTGTGCTCAGAAAGAAATGTGAATTAAGTTTGCTAATTACCTAGCAGTACTCTTTGCTGTGGGTTTTTCATTGGTGTCCCTTTTACGTCATTCTTTGCCTTTGTCCCCATTCCCACTCCCACAGACCTACACTCTCGTATATTTAACATGTGCCCTTCTGATTTACCCACTATAGATTAATTTTATGAATCTCTGAAAAATCTATATGATTGCTTTGAATATGTTTTTAAATGTATATAAATGTTTGTTGTCTATATATCATTCTGATTATTCATTTTTTCAGTATGTTTTTGAAATATATTTATGCTGACACCTGTAAATCTAATTCATCCCTCCTGATTGCTTCAAAATACTCCACTTATTCATATTCATTCAACATTTTATTCCATTTTAATAATTTTTTTTTTTTTTTTGAGAGTGAGACAGAGAGAGAGAGAGCATGAGCAGGGGAGAGGCAGACGCAGAATCTGAAGCAGGCTCCAGGCTCTGAGCTGTCAGCACGGAGCCCCATGTGGGGTTTGAACTCACGAACTGTGAGATCATGACCTGAGCTGAAGTCGGATACTTAACCAACAGAGCCACCCAGGTGCCCCCATTTTATTCTGTCATGTACAAAAGACAAAAACATTTTACTAATTTAATAATGTCATATCTACTCTTTTTTTAATATTTAAAATAATTTTTAATGCTTTTTATTTTTTTGAGAGAGAGACAGAGTGCAAGCAGGGGAGGACAGAGAGAGAGAGAGGGAGACACAGAATCCAAAGCAGCCTCCAGGCTCTGAGCTGTCAGCACGGAGCCCAACACGGGGCTCAAACTGACAAACTTTGAGATCATGACCTGAGCCGAAGTCGGATGCTGACTGAGCTACCCAGGTGCCCCTAATAATGTCATACTTATTCTTTGTTTTATTCTCAAGTTTGCAATTTGAGCTGGGATTGCAGGGACAGCTCATCTCTGTTCCATGCGTTATCAGCTGGAGCTGGCAATGACTCAATGGGTTGGGGTCTAAATTAGCTGAAGGCTCCATCTCTCACACGTAGTGCTCAATGTTGGCTGTTGGTTGGGGCCTCAGCTGGGGTTGTTTGCCGTGTAGCTGCATGACTTCCTCATAGTGCAGTGGCTCCATTCCGAGAACAGTTGTCCCAAGAGGACAACGCAGAAGTGCATGACTTTCTTATCACCTTGTCTTGAAGTCACATGGAGTCACTTCCATTGTACCCTGTTGGTTGAGGGGGACACGGGGCCTTCCCAGGTTCACATGGAGAAGACATAGACCCCACCACCCAATGAAAGGAACATCAGTGTTACATGGTTGAAAAGAAACCAAACAAACATGTGGGAATGTGAGATGGAGTATGTTGTGGTATCTATCTTTGGAAAGGACAGTCTGCCACATTTGTGAAAATACAAAATCTGATTTGGATACAGCAACATGACTTGAATATCAAGACCCATTAGCAAAGAGTTTTAGTTATGAGTTATATTCCAGTATGCTCTTTCTTTTTGGACAGAGTATTAGATTGTAGTCAATAACTGCTTGCTTCCTATATTTTTAGACTTTTGTTCTAAGATCATCAGTATCTTTCCCCTCAGTCCTTATTTTTTATGTGATCAATATAATGAGATCAACCAATTCATAGGACATGATTATGAAGAATGTAATACAGAGAAATTGATTTATTTTTCTTTAAAAAAAATACATCCTGTAGTGAAATGATGGCAATCATCTCTTTTTTTTAAATGTTTATTTCAGAGAGAGAGAGACAGGATGAGCAGGGGAGGGTCAGAGAGAGAGGGAGACACAGAATCTGAAACAGGCTCCAGGCTCTGAGCTGTCAGCACAGAGCCCGATGTGGGGCTCGAACTCACGAACTGTGAGATCATGACCTGAGCCGAAGTCGGATGCCTAACTGACTGAGCCACCCAGGTGCCCCGATGGCAATCATCTCTTGGGACTGATGTGCAAAGAAGAGAATACTCATTGCCTATCACATGGTTATTTGGGGGGAAAAATTTTTATTACACTTGATCTTAGCCAAAAGGCCGAGAAGCAATGGGGGGAAATTTTTTTAGAAAAGTAGTAGTTAGTTCTCATACTCTTTCTCTCTCTCTTTCTCCCCTCCTTCCTTCCTTCCTTCCTTCCTTCCTTCCTTCCTTCCTTCCTTCCTTCCTTCCTTCCTTCCTTCCTTCCTTCCTCCCCTTCTCCTTCCCCTTCCTCTTCCCCTTCCCTTCCTTTTTCCTTCCTTTCTCTCTTTTTCTCTTTCTTTTCTGTGGCTGCCCAGAGAATCTCTTATGTACTGGATATTCTGATTAGCCTGATTAGATACCCTTAATGCACATGTGATTATCCTGAGTTTATGGTCTCCATCACTAGAAAATAGGTCTGTAATTTTGTAGCTCTTATGCTTTTTTCCTCTGATCTGTTCTCTCCTGAGACTCTATGAAATATGATGGTGCTTAAGGAAAACACTGCCAAAATCACTCTACCTTTCTTAAGGAGATACAGTGTGAGGGTAGTGGTGAAATGTTCTAGCAATCAGCAAGGCCAAGAAAAGGTTGTAGTTGAATTCATCCAACCCTGTGCTGATTTCTGTATATCTCTTGAGCCATTTCTCTCAATCCAGAAAAACCACAGGCAAACAGATGACAGTGGTGATCATAGCAGCATTTCCCTTTGGGCTCATAGAGTTCTCACCAATGCAGAAAATCACTGCTTAAGAAATGGGATGTATGGTGGGCCAGTCAAGTCCATCCCTCCTCCTCCTTGATTCTCTAGGTCAAGATGAGATCAGTCTTGGGCTTTTGTTTTACTTTGTTTGTTTGATGGAAATGTCTAAATGTATACAAAAGTAGAACAGTATAGTGCACTCCCATGTACCCATCCCCTAACTTTAGCAATTACCAACTCATGGCCTGTAGGACACTCTTTAAAAATATAACCACAATAATATTATCCTACATTTGAAAATTAGCATTTCTGGAGGCTGTTGAAACATGCAAAGGTTTGCCATTGGAGAGGATGAAGCAAAGATACATGTAAGTGGCATATAGCATGACAAAGGAAAAGAGCTCCAATCACTGAGGTCTTGGGGGAGGCTCCAGTTTGGCAGGTCTCCCTTTGATGTGAAGAGCTACACCCTGTCGTTCTATCCTATAAATCCCCTTCTTCTCCTCCTCTGCCTCCTCCCCCTCCCTCCTCCTCTTCTTCTTCTTCTTTCTTTTGATAACATTGGTTTGAGTTAAACTTCCGTGACTACACTTGGACATGTCATGACTAACATTACTGCTCTCTAGATAGCTTGGTGTCACTCCTCTCCATGTTCTTTGATTTCTCGCACCACTCAACTTTAGCAATAATAATGCTAACTGCTACCATTTATTGAATGCCTACCATGTGCCAGACCCTCTTACCAAGTACTTAAACTTTAATCCTTATAACAACCCAGCGAAAACAATTATTTCCCTGTGTTGTTGATGAAGAAAAGAAGATTTACATTAATTAGGATATCTGTGCTCACGCTACAACAGTTAGTAAGCACGGAACCAAAATCCTGCTCAGATCTCTAACCCTCAGCCTATGTTCTCACTGTGCCGTGCTGGACCTGACAGACATGCTTTTTATTTTCAAAAAAGCTAATCTAAGTCTCTAGTATTAAACCATGAGATCATCAAACTGTCACCTCGCCTTCCTAGGCACCTAACTAGACTCCTTTATTGCATTTAGGGTTGGCCATGTGATTGTGTTCTACCTTTGAAATGTGAATAGAAGAGACGTGGCCTGTTTCATGACTGGGCCCATAAAACTTCCCGTTGGCTGCCCTTGTGCTGTCTCTGCTTCTGCCATCTGGTTACACTGCTGAGGGTAACCTTGGCAACCACATGATGGCAAAAACTGACAGCCTAGGTCCCTGAGTGACTGTATGCAACAGAGCCTTATACCACCAATCTGAAATGTTTATATGAATGATAAATTCCTACTGTATTTAAGCCATTGTATATTTAGGGGTCATTTCTTTTTTTTTTATTATTTTTTTAATGTTTGTTTATTTTTGAGAAGAGAGAGAGACAGAGTGTGAGTGGAAGAGGGAGAGAGAGAAAGGGAGACACAGAATCTGAAGCAGGCTCCAGTCTCTGAGCTGTCAGCACAGAGCCTGATGCAGGGCTTGAACTCCTCAACCACAAGATCGTGACCTGAGCTGAGGTCGAATGCTCAACCAACTGAGCCACCCAGGCACCCCTAGGGGTCATTTCTTAACAACAACTAGACTTCCTTAATTTTTATGTACTGTTTCAGTTATTCAGTATTTATCTGTGAGAGAGAGGGAGGGAGAGATGGACGGATGGACGGATGGATGGATGGATGGATGGGTGGGTGGATGGATGGATGGATGGATGGGATTTCTCAGCTCTGCTTGAGACACTGCAGAGATCAAGCCCTTTCAAAAGAGCCAAATGTGTTCTGGAATTACTCTGGGCTCGTGAAGGAGATGAATGAGCTGGATGCTGATGGGAGAGGTAGGCACCCTGGGGTGAGCAGAGGCTTGATTCTGTTTCCAAAGGGGAACCCTGGACATGTGCGGGTCCAGGAGAGATTGTGAAGGGAGGGGAGGGGCTGTGAGGGTTGGGGAATTAGGAAGTGAGAAAGGGAAGTGGGACAACAGCAAAGGCAGAGCCTCAGGCTCTGTCCAAAGGCCTGGTGGCAGTCATGGAAATTCAGTTCTGAAGCTGCTGGTGCCAGAATGCTTCAGATAGGAATGGCCCCTGTTAGGACAGACTGTTCCCCTTTTACCAATAGCATTTTTTTTTTTTAAACAAACGCAAGCAATGTTTTTGCACAATGATTAACATTGTTCTAGGACAGATAAAAAGGCAATAAGAAAGAATGAGAATGTTGTAACTACTAACATTTCTTGAATTGAATTGGCAGATAAATAATGTGTATAAAGGCAATTGGTATTTAGGGTGGTGGTGGGGTTCTTGGAGAGGGCAAGGGTAACAAGAATCATCTAGGGTTTGACGGGACCCAGCGTTCTCACCCAGGAGGATGTCACCCCTAAGAGGGTGAAAATTGGTTCATGGAACAAGAAGAACTTGGCTATTCAGTGGCTTGTGGCCCTCCAGAGGGCCATAAAGAAAAACAGATCTGTGGTGTTAGAATTTCATGGTGGGAAGGGGGATTAGGAAAAAACTGTCTAGAGGTGCCTGGATGGCTCAGTCAGTTAAGCGTCCAACTTCGGCTCAGGTCATGATCTCATGGTTCGTGGGTTCAAGCCCCGCATCAGGCTCTGTGCTGATAGCTCAGAGCCTGGAGACTGTCTTCAAATTCTGTATCTCCCTCTCTCTTTGACCCTCCCCTGCTCACACTATCTCTCTCTGACTCTCAAAAATAAATAAAAAACATTTTAAAAATTAAAAAAAAAAAAAGGAAAAAACTGACTAAAAAGTCTCCTTAAAGGGTGATGATGAAAAAAAGGTTGAGGAACAGTGATGATTCAAATGGAAGAATTTTGTTGACCATCCCTGGGTCCTCCTGGGAAAATGAATTAGAAATAACTGCATTATCTTGACGGAAGGAAAAAGACCTTACACATTGCCTGGGACTATGGGAAATATAAAATAAAATCCACTGGGAGATATAGAGGCAGCAATGAGCAGTTGGGCCACCCCCACAGCTGCTCAGTGCCCAGGATGCTGGGCTGAGGGCGTGAGACACACCGGGTCAATTCCCAGACAAGCTGTGATAGAGGACAAGGCAGTGTGCATGTCAGGATTCGGGAGTTAACCCGCCCGCCTCCACCCTCCTGATTTGTTTTATTCCCTGTCCTCTACCCCTTTCCCTGTTTTCACAAGATTCCCAACCTTCGTTTCTCCTACAGGCTGGGGAGTCAGTAGCAATGTTAATGAGTGAAAGAAAAGAATGCTAGAAACAGAGCCACACCCTGACATCAAAGAAATGAACTTCAGCCATATGATTGTCATGTGGAAGGCTTGGAAATACACTCTAACATCTGCGAAATCAAATCAAAATGCAGACAGGCTTTTGGCCTCCCTAATCCATGTTTCCGGATATGACATGGGTATGCAGTTTCTTAACAAAATAAAAATGAAAGGCCATGTCAAGTCTAGGGAATGGCTCTTACCCCACAGGCATTCGGCCTTGGAAATGGCTTCTGGCTCTAGGCTGCTTAAAAGTCTAGAGTTTGCTATCCATCTGAAAATGGCGATGTTGTTTTAGGGGGCGCTCTGAAGGAGAGGAAGGAGGGCCCAGCACAGGCTACTCTTGTCTTGCCTCATCCCTGGTGCTCTTTAAGGCAGTGCTGGAAGGAAAAGGTTCTGATCAACCAATAAGAGTTACCACTCCCGGAGCCCTTACATGTCAGGTGGTTTTAAGGCTTTACATATATTAATTTACTCCTTTAATCAAACAACCCTGTGAGGGGAGTACTATTATTATTACAATGGGAAACTCAAGCACAGAAAAGTTAAGTTACTTAGCCAAGGCCACACAACTATTATTAGCACTGAGGTTTGAACCGAAATCCTCAGCACCCAGAAACTTGTAGGACTGCTCTTTACTGAGCCCTGGGGCCAACTCTCTACTTACCAATAATGCCTTTGAACCCAAGAGTGAATGAGCTTACGCTGAAATTGCTTCTAACATTATGTACTTGGTGTGGAGTCTTACAGAAAGGACAGTGTATCAGTCAGCAGGCCCGTGGCACAGTGGAACCCTTGGCGGCACTGGCATAATGGATTACTTGCTTACTGGACACATCTGCCCTCTTGTGATGAAAATTATTCTACTAGGATCTTCCCCAGGTCTCTGGAATGCACCTGCTTACGTCCTCTGGTCTAGTTCCATGGTGGAAGAATGGAGGATGGGGAGCCAGTGAGAAGCTGTTGGCTCAGTAGAGTCAGACTCCTGTATCACCCAGTCTTCTCCAAAATGTTCCTAGCTTATGACTCTCAGACAGTGAGGCTTATAAACGTGACTCCAGAGTCCTGTAACTTTTAGCATCAGGGATAAGGGGGAAAGGCTAGGCTTCCTGGAGAATCCCAGGGACACTAGTGAGACCCCATCTGTGTCCTTAGGGAGAGAGTGTATTTTGTTTAAGTTGCCCTAGTGGATTAGAACCAGATTTACAAGACTTGGAGAAAGATGGTTAATTGCAGAATGAAATGAACTGAAGGTCACAAACTATCAGAACAGAGAGAAAACAAAAGCAGACAGGCCTGTGTTCTAGTCTGGGCTCTACCTGTAGTACACTGTGTGACCTTGGGCAAGTTGCTTTGTTCCGACACCAGTTTCCTCAGTGGTAGAGTGAGGGGATGGAACTACATGAGCTCAAAATCTCAGGTGTTGCCAGATGTGGCTTTCTACATTCGCCAAAATCCCCTTTCCTGATGGGCTCCCCATCACACACACATTTTTATGCACATTGTGATTAGGAAGACAAAGATCTACACCCATAGTCACGGTTCTCAATTTTCCTCATTCATGGAGTAACTCCTACTTCGTTGGGTTGTTGGGAAGAAGTTCTTTTCCATTTGATGCAGTGTTAGTGGGTCCCATCAGACTAGGTTTGCTTGGGCAAGGCAAGGACACGTATACACATCTGCATATTGTTTTAAGTAAGGAAAACTGGTTTTGAAGATACTGATTCCTACACTGATGAATTATTATCTTGCACAGTACCCATTTCAAACAGATGCTGATTTAGGGATTATTCATTCTCCCTGAAGTTGTGGCAATTACCAGTGCCAGCCTGTAGCTCTAATCTGTAGGGCAGAGCAGTGCCCAGACTGTCTAGGGTGAGGGTCCAGGACGGGGTCAGAGGAGACCTTTACTGGCTTCACATTACATTACAGATTATGTTCAGCAACTTGCACCTGCTTCCAAACCATTTAGTATACTCCTAGACTTTATGGACTAACACAGGTTAAAAAAGAAAATTTCATAGCAAAGATCTTTTGACTTGATAATCCTACTCCAAAGGAATAACCCTAAAGAATTTTCTACGTCCACAGAAACATCCTATGAAATAATCACCACCACAGCCCATCTGGAAGACTGGGTCTCTAACATTTGGAACATAATTAAGCAAATTCTCTAGCCAACAGAATTCAAATGATAATGATGAAGCCTATGTAACAATGTGGGAAAATGTTTGCTTGAAAGAAGCCACAAACGTCGAGTGTGGTCATAACCATGTAATTTTCCAAAAGGAAATTCCGACACATGCTACAGCATGGGTGAACCTGAGGACATCATGCTAAGTGAAATGAGCCAGTTACACAAAAAGAAATGCTGTGTGACTACTCATGTGAGGTATTTATGTATATTTGACTGCCATACAAACAATGGGGGGAAAATGTCACGACGTAGGTAAAACAGGAAGATGGCATGCAAAAATGAACTGGTACTACTGTGTTATGCATAAGCATGATCTTTAAAATTTCCTTTAATGTAGCAATGCTACTGCTTTTATAACAAAAAGTACAGAAAAAAAATTAGGGAAAAAATTTTTGAGAGCTTTGGATAGTTGTTATTTGACCCCCAAATAACCCAAGTAGTCATGGGAAAATTTTGTTTAACATCCTCGCACTTACTTTACAATTTACTATTGTTTTAAAAAATTTTTACTACAGATCACTGGGGACCCATAACCTTTCCAGTGCTTAATGCCTCTAAAAGTTTTAGGCCAGTCTGGGGTGCAATTCAGTTTTAAGGCTGAGAGACTTGTGCTGGGATGGCCCCTGGGACCCCGCAGCTCTGTTGGAAGCACATCTGTGTGGTCACAGGAGCCCCGACCTCCTCACCAGCTAATTCCATTTTCACTAAAATTCTTCTCTGTGGACTTGGGATAATGATCATAGTTTTGCCTTTCAACTCCAGGGTAAGAGGTATTTTCCTCCTGTACGTGCGCAACTAGATACTAGAAATAGCCATGTGGTGCACCTGGACGTGGACCAAAATATCCGTGAGCCAAATGCTTCCAGTTCGGGAACAGAAGGGGACACCTGGCCAAGACTCGTGGGCCCGGCTTTGTGTGGCAGTGTGGGCTCCTGCTCCGGTCTCCACTGTGTGAGGAAGGCCTGGATGTTCCTCCCGCTGTTCGGTGAGTGACACTTAAATGGTAGAGCTGTTTGGTGATAATGATGAAAACTAACGGCCATGCTTTTCATGGACAGAGCTAGACTTTTCCAAGAAGCTTGAGGTGGACTATTTTTGGACCTGACTTTGAGAACGTCCAGGCCCATATTTGACCTTGTTGGAAAGTTCCCTAAGCCAAAGGGTCCAGAAGAGAACCACATAGGTGTTCCATCAGTAGCTGAAATGAGCAACGTTGGTTTTATGGTAACTGGCGTTTACTGAGTGGGGGACCCTGCACCAGACGTTACTGTGCTTCTTACCACACATCAGCACGTCTGGTCCTCACAACCACCCTGGGAGCGAGTACTCTAGGATTCCCATTTTCCAAAAAGCAAACAGATTCTGATAAGTGCTGGCCCAAAGCCCTCAAATGGCTTTTTTTTTTTTTTTTTTTTTTTAGAAGTTCCAAATCAGCACACACATGCTATAAATGCAGGTCTGAAACGGGAACAGTCGTTTCTGTCCCTAAACCAATCAAAATGTCCTGTGGGAAGAAATGGTCCAATCCGAAGTTTATGGATTTTTTTTTCAATTTTCAATGGTCTGCTTCTTGATTAGGAAAATTCTCTACTTCTCGTACAGAAACTCACCAGTGAGTAATAGAGAACCTTTCCAGCAAATTAGGAGACTGAAAAATAGAAAATCCTTCATTCACCATCTAGAAGACCAGAAGAATTTCCAAATAGAATTGAAGCCAACACTACATAAATTCTAATTTCCTTGGAGGCAGCAGTTTTAATTTTGATAATCCCTAAAAGTAGTACTATTGGGTACTTTGTGAGTAAACTTTAGACTCTCTAAAGTTTAGTTTTAGTAGTTTAATGAAACCTGAATCTGTATATTTCTTTTACTCAGAAAGTCTGAAGTCTCTGCACCCTCGGCCATCAGCTCACCACGCTCGTTCCATATCTGTTGCCCAAATTTCTGGTAGAGAGAGTTGCTGCTTCACGGGGTGACTATTAGGTGAGTACTCAGATCTGGGGTGAGAGCAGAGGTGGGTAGGAGCCACCAAAGCAGTGCCTTAGGGGGACAGCCACCATGTGGCTGAATGGCTGTATAGGATTTTCAGAGCCAACTTCTTAAATTGTACAGGGGCTGCTGTACAAAGCCAGAGTGGGCCACTGAGAACTCAAAGGTGCTGTTGGAAGGCCCTCTCATCCCTTCCCCTCTCCTGTTTGATCCTTATCAGCTTGGTGCCCCTTGCCACAGTGGATGACAGGTCCACCTGGGTCTCCCACTCAGCAGTGAACAGCCACAGAAGGGAGTGGATGTGGAACTTGGCCCGCCAGGGCCTACTGTGGCACAGGAGTGAGGGCCCAGGGGCCAAATCCTGGCCTCAGCCACTCCTGACCAGGTCTGTTCCTCCAAGAAACCAGCTGTGTGGATTCAGAGGTCAGATAGAGGGAAAGGCCTTGGTTGTGTCCTTGGCTTTTTTTGGTCCCTGGGTAGGTGGAGAGGCCTGTGAAGGACCATACTGATGACTGCTCTGGCCTCCCTCCCTCCCCGCCTCCCCAGGCTCTTCCCAGCACCACACCCCAGGGCCCCACCCCCAGTAGTGTCTCTGAAGGGAGTCAGGCAGGCCTCCAGGCTGAATCCGTTCTAAAAACCCCAGACTCGGCAATTAGAAATAGCGTTTTCAGTATTTTATTAACAAATAAGTTGGCAAAAGAACAAGTTATCTGGTAATATCAACTCCTCCCCCCCCCCCCCCCCCCCCCCCCCCCCCCCCCCCATTTAACATGCAGCTGCCATCATGGTGTCTAATCGGCACATGGCCGCCATGATGGTCGGTGTCTGACCTGTTCTGCTAGCTGGGTTCTCAGCAGCCCCCTCAGCCTTCATCCAGTTCAGTTATCCCCCAACGACTCCCGGGCTGGGAGAGAACTCCCCTCCTCAAGACAGGGAGAGAGAGACAGAAGCTTCTGTGTGAGTGCCAGGGCCACAAAGGCAAGCCAGGCCTTATTCCTTTTGGAGGAGGGGCACGGGTTCTTCTTCCTGGGGTAGAACACGTCCCGAGGAGGTGAGCCGAGGGTGAGAAAGCCCTGCACGAAAACTCAACATTATGAAGACACCACTCTTTTCCCTTAGATCTGCTAAGAGGGCACCCAGCCATCTCTGTCAGCAGACAGTGAGACTCGAGGACTAAAACAAAAGCCTACGAGGAGCCTCGGCAAAACCTTGGATGCATCAAATCCCAACACTGCACAGACCTCAGTATCTACAGCTGTGAAGTGAGCAGACCGTCAACCTGTGGGGCAGTACTGAGGAAGAGAATATTCCAGGTAAAACACTTGGTCGGTGAGCACCTTTCCTCTGAGAAGCTTGGCACTAACTCTGTACCATGTCCTCAGCCCTTCCATGAAGACACCATGACCAACTCACCTCCCTGGTCCTCAGGGCAGGCATTTGAGCTTAAGTCTCATTCTAATGTCCGATAAAAACAATCCTACATGTGCATCAGGTCTCTTCATAGTGTATTTACAGTAAGTAAAATGGCGGCCCACCAGGCAGCTCATGCCCTACAAAACTGTAAGAGCTGCCCAGGGAAGCTCGTGCCTGTCATCAAGGCAGCAGGGTCCTCTGAGACTCCGAGAGGGACGAATGGCTGTAGCGCACCTCCCAGGGCCTACACCCTGTACACAGAAGCGGCCTCTCAGAAGCAGACAATCCGCTTCTCATCCTCGAAGACTTTGGCCTCCTCTGGGTTTATCAAGTTTCCATTTAGGCTGTCAGGGAGAAACAAAGAACACAAAACATTAGCAATTTGTCTGAGCCTTCCCAGCATGCATTTGCAACACACTGCTGTTCTTCACGTGGCCCTGAAGTTATAGAACGTGCTCTATTCAGACACTTGTCTGGTAATAGGACTCCCTTCCAGCTATCGTCACTCTAGGAAGCGTGTCTCACTAAAGCCACCAGTAGCCACTATGGACCTGAACCTAATGCCATTTCTCAGGCCTTGTCTGTCCCATCCTTCACAGGCATTTGGGTGTCCTGCCCCTGCCTCCTTGACCCACCACATTGGCTTGGCTTGATTTTATCCTCTCTGGTTCTCCCCTGTGTCTGCCGCTCCATCTCCGTCTCCTCTCCCATGTTCTCCTACACGTGGGCTCTGAATACTGGATTTCCTCTAGGCAGGAGGGCGGGAGGGGGCTTGGCCCTTTTCCCCAGCTGACCTCATCCCTGTGTGAGCAGACCTGCAGCCCAGACCCCCTCCATGTGGCTCCACTTACTTCACATCTTCACTTGGATGCCTCCCAGACTCAAGGTGGCCACGCCTGCCCAGGGACCCTAGCTCAGTGCCCGGTACCACTCTTCATCCACCTGTGCAAGTCAGTGACCTGGGGGTCAGCCTGGACCCCTCCTTCCCCCTCATCTTCCTAGTCCATCCATCACGAAGTTCTATCTTATTCCCTAAACATCCCCAGAGTGCCTCCCTGGAACCTTCCATAGCTTCGCCACCACCATGGTGGTCTGAGCGCCGTCATCTCTTCTCTGGATCACTGCAGTGTCCCCCCCGACTGGTCCCTTTACGTGTACTCTTCTGGCCTCTTCAAACCCATTTGCCTGGGGAGCCACGATGGTCTTCACAGTGCAAATCTGGTCATATCCCTCTTTGCTTCAAACCCCTCCATGGCTTTCCATTGCTTTTAGGATACAGACCTGGATATGTAACATGACCCGCAGATCTCTTCTGGTCTAGTCTACCCTCTACCCTCTCTCCGCTGCCCCTTCTTCTACACCGTCTGAACCCCAGGGCACACCGATATCTTGCTGTTCTTCAGGGACACTGTGCTCCTTCCTGCCTCAGAGCCTTTGCATATGCTATTCCCTCTACCTGGAACACCTTTCCTCCCACCTCAGCTAACTCCTGTTCGTTCTTCAGGGCTCAGCTTACATGCACTTCCTTAGGGAGAAGTTCCCTGAAACCTCACATGTGTGAGGTATTCTTCTGAACTTTCCCCTTTATCTCACTCATGATTACTTGAGTGATTGTTTTCTTTACCGGGTGTCTTCCTCATTAGGTGGGGAACCCATGAGGCCAGGTCCATTTTGTTCACTGCTGGATGGTGCTGGCACATGGCCGGCACTCAAGCACTTTGTTAGCCCATGATGATGTGGCGCTGATCCCTGGGGACACAGCAGTGACGACTGTTTACAAACCACAAAAAAACCCCAAGAAACAACAAAAAACCTGACAGGCCCATAGTGGTGTCACTTGGGTCAAGGACTCAAGTCAGTAAACCAGGACTTAGCTCCTAACCTTGATGCGGCCCCGGCTCCTCAGGAATACCAGCTTTAGCCAGTCAGCACGGCCAGGGAATGCACTGGGAGACCCACCCCTCCTGCTCCCCTTAGCAGGGCAGCCTTGCCTAAATGACACGTTCCTGGCTAATAAATTCCCTTTCTGAAATGCCCTCTGTGCCTTTAAAAAAGCTTTTTCAGCTGGACTCCCCTTCACTTGCTAGACAGGATGCTGTTGGATCCATGAACCGTTTTATCAAGGAAATTCACATTTCCTCAGCTGGATTTTGCTGAATAGACTTGGTGGCAGTGTTGGGATCTGAAGTGAACTTCTGCCGGCATTCGGGGCAAGGAGACACAGGGGCCGGGTGCCCTGCCAATGCTTCTGAGTTCAAGGTCAGCCTCGCCGTTTCAGGATATGTCTGGGGTGCCGCCGGTGAGTCCTCTCCATTTGCACTCCCCTCTTTGCACTGGAGCTACTGGCCCAACAGGTCTTCCATTCCAGGGCTGACTGGTCAGCACAGACTGACAGTGGCTGTGTGTGTGGGGAGCGCCACTCCTTAGCCCTTGGGTCAGCCCGCCAGTTCACACTGGAATTCCTCCCCAGCTTCCATATGCAGTCCATCCAGAGGTAGAACATCTACCCCCGTTTACTGGGGTTTGCTGGTTTAGTCCTTTCCCCGTTTCTAGTCTGCAGTCTCCGTAGTGGAGACCACTGGGTGAGCGATTGCTGGGAATGGCTGGTGCAATACACAGCCTTCTCTCCGCCAGCCCCGTCCCCGGTAACACGTTTTGGTTACTGCTGGTATGTGAGGTGCACGTTTGTCATGTTTTGTGTGAACAAAGTCTTAGCCAATGGGATCCTTAAATTGTACAGAGTCAAACATGCTACCTTCCAGTCCACCTGCCCTCTTTCTGTCTGAACACGATAGTGCTGGGAGCTGTGAATATCTCTAGAAATGGCGAAATTTTACTAAAAACCACCTAGAGGTACAATGGCCACCATGGGGACCATTCCCATTAGATGACAGCATTTAGGAAGCGCATCTGAGAGCACAGCGTTCCTGAATTAAACCGCATGGGATACCTGAGTAAACTGGTGAGCAGAAGTCCTGAAAGGTTGCAAAATTCTAAAAGCGATTTCATTAAAAGACTAAATGTTACACCACAAATATTAGTAATAGTAGGGTCTTTGCATCTGCGTGTTTGTATGCATGTTATAAACATGAGATACTGTCCTGCCTCTGGATGGTACTGCTAAAATTTTTTTTTAATGTTTTATTTATTTCTAGGAGAGAGAGAGAGAGACAGTGTGAGCAGGGGAGGGTCAGAGAGAGAGGGAGTCACAGACTGAAACAGGCTCCAGGCTCTGAGCTGGCAGTCAGCACAGAGCCCGATGCGGGGCTCGAACCCACGAACCGCGAGATCGTGACCTAAGCGAAAGTCGGACGCTTAACCGACTAAGCCACCCAGGCGGCCCGGTACTGCTAAAATTTGTACAAGACTCTAGTTAGTTGGTTTTGTAGGGGCCAAGGATAGGCTGCTCCAAAATGTGCCAGTCTGGCATACTGAAAACTTTTTTGTAATGTTTTTATTTTTGAGAGAGAGAGAGAGAGAGAGAGAATGAACAGAATCCGAAGCAGGCTCCAGGCTCTGAGCTGTCAGCACAGAGCCCAGTGAGGGGCTAGAACTCGTTGTGAACGGTGAGATCATGACCTGAGCTGAAGTCAGATGCCTAACGGACTGAGCCACCCAGGTGCCCCACGGCATACTGATTATTTTAAGTAAAACTTATTTAAGAGACAGCCTGTGCAGGAAGGGCACTGAGACCCTCCTCTGCCCCCCGAAAGCAGGAAATAAATCTCCCATCTGAAAGACACCCTCCCTTTACCAGGGAGGTAGAGACATTCTTATCACCAGAGATAGGAAATTTAGAGGCAAGAAAGCTATATAGACACCCCTTATTAATTTTTACTAATATGTATCACACCCCAAATTCTGCTGAAAATTCCTTACTAATTGGAACTCCCAAAGTTAAGCTTTCTCTGTCCTGGAGACATTTTTTAATGTGTATTTATTTTTGAGAGAGAGAGAACAAGCAGGGGAGGGGCAGAGAGAGACAGACACAATCCAAAGCAGGCTACAGGCTCTAAGCTGTTGGCACAGAGCCCCACGTGGGGCATGAACCCGTGAACCATGTGATCATGACCTTAGCCGAAGTGAGTCACTTAACCTACTGAGCCACCCAGGCGCCCCTGCCAATGCTTCATGGATTCATTTATTGGCTCTTTGACTAAAAAGTATAAAACTGCCTTGGCCATTTCTTTAAGTCTCAATTTCATTATTGGCCCACTGGGAACTCGTAATAAAACTGTGTGGTTTTTTCCTCTGGTTAATGTTATATGCAAATGTAACTCTTAGTCCAGCTGGAAGACCTTGAATAGTAGAAGAAGAATTTTTCCTTCCCTGCGGTTGGCATCGTCGGCAGGATACGAACTCACGGGACAGGTGCTCGCCCAGTGTTGCTACAGCCGAGATCCCGGAACATCTGACGCACCGCCGGCGGAAGGTGAGACTTCTGACCGTGTCGGCCTCCTGGCACCTCTGTCTGCGGGGTCTGGTGGAACGAGAGTGCTAAGAATCTTCCTTCTCCAAATTTAGTTAGCAGGGGAAAATGCTGTAGAACCAGTTCCTTGGGTTTAGCAACTTCTGGTAAAAACGTGGTAGGATGCTCTTTGGTTACCCACCGTTTCCTCCCAGAGATGGTCAGTGTTTTCTCTTGTCTATGTCTTTTGTGTCGAGTGTCATGGAAAGGAATGCTCACGGGACAGAATGGAGGCGTAGGCCCCGTAAACCCGCCCCCAGGCCCGGCCTCACAGGCTGGTGAGGACCCGGTTTGCAAAAGACCAGTGTCCGTTTAGACAGACTTTGCTGCGGGGAGCGCGTGCGCACGAGGTGCAGGCTGTTGCTGGGAAACCTCTTAGAAGCCAAAGCTACAAACCTGGTGGTCGCAGGTCAAGCACCTAAGAGCTGTTAGAGGGCCTGGCATCTAACTCAAGGAGCCCCCATCAGGAGAAGCTGGTCATGGGATGTGTTAGATTGACACTATGTCACCCGCCGACCTCGAGAAAAATGTCCACGTGGCGAGGGATGCTGTAAAACAGCACACAGTCCCCCCGCCTCAAGGTACATCCCTCCTGCATATTCGTCTGGCTCCCAGAGACCCAAGGCATAGGCAGCGCTGTTAATGTGCATATAAGAGATTTTTGCTTTTATCTTGTTCTGTGGCCGAAGAGCTGGGCCTTGTGACCAGTGAGAACATGGTCTCTGGTTTCTGTCACGTGGAGGGCGTACTTACCAGGGTGCACTGTGGTAGCCAGTCCCACACACCAGGGATGCAGATACACAGTTACAAGCAGCACGCGCTGTCGAGCCGTGCCGCCTCCCAGGAAAGTTGGTCATAAGAGGTCGGGCCCCTAAG